GCCTGCGGCGTGGCCTTGGCCGCAGCCTCGGCCCCCGCCTCCGCTGCCGCTCGCAGCCTCTCCATTTCGGCCTGGATGTCCTCCTTTGAGACGCCTGCCGCCGCGCCGCCGCCAGCAGCCCCGTGCGTCTGCGCCGCGGCGGGGGCTGGGGCGGCGCCCGTGCCTGCTGCCGCTGTGGCGGCAGGGGACGGCCCTCCTCCTGCCGCAGGCGCCTGAGCGGCCGTGCCCTGCGCAGGGGGGGCCTGCGCCGTCGGCGCGCCTCTTCTTGGCCATGCGCTCCTTCGCGCGCTCCTGCAGGGCCGCCGTCTTGGTGCGCCACTACGCGACCTGCTCGGCCTTGGACTGCACACTCTTCTGGGCGTCCTTCAGCTCCTGCTCAAGCTTCTCCAACTCCACTTTCTCCCCCTCTCCGCAATCGAGCTCGTCGATGCTGTCGAGGACGCTGGTGTCCCACGACAGGTCGATGAGCGGCACCTCTGGCGTCGGTGCAGGCGCGGAGGTGACACCTGCGGCCTTGGCCACCGCCATCACCGCGCTGCGCTTGTTGATCTCCGCGAGCGCCAGCGTGCGAGCCGTCTCCCCCTCGCGCTCACGCGCGCGTTGGAGGTTGAGGCTGCGCCGCTCGACCTGCGCCCTCGCCTGCTCCCACTTGGCTGAGGCGTCACGCCAGGCCCCTGCCGCCAAGCGCACCGCCTCCTCGGCGGGGACGCTCTTCGGCGAGGCCGCCGCGGCGCGCGCTTGCTCGATCTGCTGCTCCAGGAGAACCCTCACCGATGGCTCCTGCACGACCTTGAGCGCCGCCTCGAGCTTGGCGGTGGCGTCGCTGGCTGGGCCTACAACTCCACGGAGAGCCGCCGCACCGCCCCCTTGCCCGCTGCTCTGGTTCTGCCCCTGCGGCGGCTTGAACAAGGTGACCTTGGTGCTGCACTTGCTACACTTCGCGCCCTGGGAGAGGAGGATGCGGTTCCATTCGCGCTTTCCACACTGCTGACACTTTGCCCAAGGGTCTGAGGCCGACGTCGCACCAGACGTGTGCTGCCGCACTGGGGCCTTCTTGTTGCCCTTGGCCATTGCTCGATACTGACTGCGTCCCTTTAGCCAACCCGCGCACTGACCGACAACTGAAGGAAGGAAGGTGGGTCAGTCGCGAGTGCCACTCAAGCACCACGTATGAGGCGGACGCCTTTTTGCCCAGGCAGAATGCTTGGGCCAAGGTGGCTTGAGCAGGGGAATGAGGGGAGGAGTGAAGATTTCAAAGGGGGGGGAAAACGAGAGAAACTAGCAGGATGATGGTTAGGAACAGGAGCGCAAACTGCATAACCAGAGTGGCATGTCGGGCGGGCGGGCCCTAACGAGAAGGTCGGGCAGGCCGAGCGGGCGGGTCCAGACGGCCAGGTCGAGCGGGCGGGATGCTCAAACGTCAACCCATCATGACTGACATTTCGAGCGATCCTGCGATTCCCTAGTAAATCGTGGCATCCAAAGCGAGAGCGTGACCTGTGAGTCTTGGGGGCACGGCGCCGTAATACATTCAGAAGAAGTACCACGTTAGAGGGCGATTCCTGGATACATCATGAGGAGATTTTGCGAGAGAGCGCGGTATTGAAATACAGTGTGCGGAAGTATCAGGCGGGAACCGCTGTTGTTGTAGGTCGGAGGGTCAAACACACAGCTTGGTGCGAGCTCCAGGAGGGGCATTTTAACTGAAGCAATCCAGTGGTCACCCGGGGGATCAACAGTAAGTTTTCTGTATAACACAGAAATCAACAAGAAAGACGCAGCAACATTCCGCACAGCAGAACCCCACTTCAGCCACGCACCCAGGGACAGTGAAGGACCGTTCGGTCCACTCATCCTGTTATCTCTTTCAAGGCATACATATATACATATATATATATATATGTTCATCCACATATATATATATGTATACATGCATGTGTGCATGTATGTGAGTATGTATACATGCATGCATGTACACATATATGTGTGTATGTATGCAGGTATGCATGCAAGTAGGTATGCATGTATGCATACATCATGCATGCATGTACGTATGTATGTATGTATGTATACATGTATGTATACATGTATACATGTATACATGTATACATGTCTGTATGTATGTATGTATGTATGCATGCATGTATGTATGTATGTATGTATGTATGTATTTATGTGTGTGTATGTATGTAAATATGTATGCATGTATGTAGGTACGCATGTATGTATGCATGCATGTAATGCATGCATGCATGCATGCATGCATGTATGTAGGTGTGTATGTATGTATGTATGTATGTATGTGTGTATGTGTATGTATGTATGTATGTATGTATGTATGTATACATGCATACATGCATGTATGTATGTATGTATGTATGTGTATATGTATGTATACATGTCTGTATGTATGTATAATTGTATGTATGTATGCATGTGTGTATGTATGTATGCATGTATGTATATGTATGTATGTATGTATGTATGTATGTATGTATGTATGTATGGATGGATGGATGGATGGACGTATGCATGCATGCATGCATGCATGTATGTATGTATGTATGTATGTGTGTATGTTTACGTGTAAGTATGTACGCATGTAGATATGTAGGCGTGTACGTATGTATGAATGTATGGATGTCTGCATGCATGCATGTATGTATGCATGCGTTCATGCATTTATGTATGTATGTTTGTATGCATGTACATACGTATGCACGTATGCATGCATTTATGCATGTATGTATGTATCTTGTATATATATATATATGTGTGTGTATGCATGTATGTATGTATGCATACGTGTATGCATGCATGTATGTATGTATGCATGCATTTAGGTGCAGTGGTTAGTGCCCTTGCATGTTTTATGCTTCTCCCCTCTCTCTCTCTCTCGCTCGCTGTCGTTTATCCGATTCTTCATCGCTGCTTTGTATGATTGAGTATCTTGTACAGCTGGCCGTTCTCCTTCTTTCTTCCCTCTCTCTGCCGGTCAGAGTGGGACTCTGCTGGACACTTTCTTGATTTTTGTGGTTGTGCCTTTTCGTCGTGTTCATCACTGTCAGGACGATTCGAGGTACTTGTTTCGAAACGGGGCTCCCGCCTGCATGACGGGTACATGTAGCATGCGTTTCCAAGGGAGGGCCTCCCCATAGCTATAGAGACTTCTGACAGGGCCTTTGGGTAGGGGACTTGGGACGGGAGGGTGTCATGCAGCATCACTGGTGCATCCTGGGTTCGTTTTGGTCGTCTCCCCTTCGTCTCCTCTTTCTCCTTCTCCTCCCCCCCTCCACCACCTCTGCTCCTTGTAAATCCCTCCGCCTCGTGGCACCGCCACGCGCGTCGGCAGGGCGGGCCCAGCATTTCGCCCGGGCCATCCTCGCCGAGCTACAGGAGTGGAGAGCGGGTGGTTACAAGAGTCTCTCTTTGTTTCTTCCTTCCTTTCTCATTTCTTCTTCTCTCTCTCTCTCTTTTTTTTTGTTTTTGTTTTTCTCTCTCTCTCTCTCTCTCCTTCGTCACAAAGATGGCGGGCTGCCCGTTTTCGAAGTGTGGCTCTCGCGGTGGCGCCGAGCGCACTCGCCTCAACACACGTGCGACTAGCAGGATGGGGGACGGAGGGTGTTCCGCTCGTGGCTTGCGTGCCCTCGTGGGCTCCCACATCTTCTGGCGCCGGACGTTGGCAGCTGGCCGGAGCCACGCCGGTGGAGGCCGCTCCTCTCCGATTCTGGACTGTCTCCTGCGACTTCTCACAAAAGCCATGCGCAGGGGGTGAGGAGGAGGAGGAGGAGAAGAAGGAGGAACAGGAGAGGAGGAAGTAGACGGAGGAGGAAAAGGAGGGGAGGGATGAAGAGGACGAGGAGGAGGAGGAGGAAGAGGAGGAGGAGGAGGAGGAGGAGGGATGAAGAGGACGAGGACGAGGAGGAGGAGGGAGGAGGAGGAGGAGGAGGAGGAGGAGGAGGAGGAGGATGCGGTCCTGCCTCCGCACGGAGGCCGGCTCCTTCTCGGAACGAGGCCCTTCGCCTGACTGGCAGGCCCACGTGGCGTCGACTGGCGGCGACCCCGCCGGCGGCGTGCAACGTTGGGCGCCGCTGGCGACCCAGAATCGGTCGAGGTTGAAGGATCTGACGTTCCGGAGACGGCCGATCGTTCATCGTTCAAGATTGAGCGATCCCCACGGCGTCAGGAAGCAGCGCCGTGGTCGGCACGACACGAGCCTGCCGTAAAGGGGCTGAAGGAAGGCCCGCTTCTCCTCCTCCTCCTCCTCCTCCTCCTCCTCCTACTCCTCTTCATTCTCTTCTTCCTCCTCCTCTTCCTCCTCTTCCTCCTCTCCTCCTCCTCCTCCTCCTTGTCCTCCTCCTCACCCTCCTCCTCCTCCTTGTACTCCTCCTCCTCCTCCTCCTCACCCTCCTCCTCCTCCTCCTTCTCCCCCTCCTCATCCTCCTCCTCCTCCGCCTCCTTCCCCTCCGAGCCGTTCCCACAGATCCAGGCTCAGGAAACTTGTCTGTGGCCAAGGCTCGCCGTGGCTAGACCAGCCACGTGCTTCCTTGCTGGGCGGGCAGTGGGGAGTCGCGAAGAATCCGCCCTGCGATCACAACCACCACCACGAGAGGCGAAACAAAAGGGGGGGAAGAAGCTGGGCTCGACCCAAACGCTGTTGTCCGTTTTCGTTTTGTTTCGTGCTTCGTCGTTTTTGTCTTCAATCCGCCCCTGCTGCGAAACGAAATCGAAAGCAACACGGCCCACCACATCGCTAAAACACAGCTTAAGTCGACCCCTCGGAAGAATGGATGGTTGGGAGGCTTGAGAAGGCCTTCGACACTGCGCCCTGCTCGACACGGCCTCTACCTAAGCCTCGATGCTGCACGGCGGCAGCACCAGGAAGGTGCCGCCACGCGCACGAGGACTTTGCCTCATTGCTCGTCCTCCCTGGCTCCTCCTCCCTCCTCCCTCCTCCCTCCTCGCCCCTCCTTCCTCGCCTGCTAACCGCGCGCGTGGAGGCTGGCCAGGGCTTCTCCAACCAGGCCGCCACGATGGACGAGCTGATCCTGCTGCCTAAGGCACCGATCGTCGTCGTCGTCGTCGTCGGCGGCAGACCCAGGGCACGGCGAGAGGGTTAGTTCTCGGCCCCCCCCATTTCTCCTTCATCTGCTTCCCCTTGGCCTCTCACCCGCCAACTTTTCTATCCGCTCTCGTGCCTGGTGTGCCTTGGGATCTGTGCCGGAGCAGTGAGCTGTGATTTGGGACGGACGAATCAGGGTTGACGGAGATGGGTGGCGGAGTTCTGGGCGGAGGCAACAGGACCTTGAAGAGAGATAAGAGTGGTTGAGGACGGGGGCAGGGGGGGAGGGCGAGAGAGATGAACGACGAGATTATGATGACGATCGTGAAGAAGACGATGGCGGTCGTCCTAATGAAGATGTCTGTGATGCGATACTGGTGATGAACAAGATGCTGCTGCTGTTGCTGCTGCTGCTGCTGATGATGATGGTGGTGGTGATGGTGGTGGTGATGATGAGAGTGATGGTGATGATGACTTTGGTGGTGGTCATCATGCTGCTCGTGTTGCTGCCGACGACGATGACGGCGATGCTGATGACGGTGCTGAGGACGCTGCTGTTTCCAATTATTGTGATGATGCTGACCGTGATGATGAGGATGATGATGCTGATGACGATGGTGATGATGATGATGATGATGATGATGATGATGATGATTATGAGGATGGTGGTGATGATGATGGTGGTGGTGATGATGATGGTCATGACGGTGATGCTGCTGCTGATGATGATGCTGAGGATGATATGGACGAGTGTGGCGATGACGATGCTAATGATGATGCTGCTGATGATGATGCTGATGGTGATGAGGATGCTGCTGCTGATGATGATGTGGATTACCATGATGGTGGTGGTGTTGATGATGCAGAGGATTGCATCAGTGCTGCTGAGGATGATGCTGATGCTGATGATGATGACGACGATAATGATGACAATGGTGACGATGACGATGATGATGATGATGATGATGATGATGATGATGATGATGATGATGATGGTGATAATGGTGATGACCATGCTGATGGTGCCCATGCTGATGATTTTGATGATGGTGCTGATGATGATGCTGACGCTGCTGCTGCTGCTGCTGGTGCGGCATATAGTGATTTGTTGTTGATGACGATGATGTTGATATTGATGTTGATGATGCTCTGGATTCTAATGATGGTGATGGTGATGATGATGGTGCCGTCGATGGTGATGCTCCTGTTGATGATGTTGATGATGCTGTTGCCGATGATGCTGATGCTGATGATTATGGTGCTGATGCTCTTGTTGTTGATGATGATGATGACGCTGCTGCTGTTGCTGCAAATAGTGATGATGCTTATGATGGTGATGATGACGATGCTGATGTTGACGACGATGATGACGATGCTGACGATGAGGATGACGGTGAACGTTATGGTGATGCTGATGATGATGATGGTGATGTTGCCCATGATGATGCTGATTGTGATGATGATGCGGATGAGGGTGATGATGTTGTTGGCGATGAATCTTATGCTGATGATTATGCTGCCGGTGATAAGGATGATGTTGATGCTGATGCTGCTGCTAATGAGGAGATGCTGGCCATGATGATGCTGATGCTAATCATGATTATGATGCCGATGAAGCTGATGATGCTGCTGATGATGATGATGCTGGTAATGATGATGATGATGATGATGATGATGATGATGATGATGATGATGCTGCTGATGATGATGATTATATGGTGTTGATGATGATTCTGCTGCTGATGATGATGATGATGGTGATGCTGATGCTGAGGATGATCATGATGATGACGATGACGATGTCGATGTCGATGATGATGATGATGATGATGATGATGATGATGATGATGATGATGCTGATGCTGATGCTGATGCTGATGCTGATGCTGATGCTGATGCTGATGCTGATGCTGATGCTGATGCTGATGCTAATGCTGCTGCTGACGATCATGATGATTGTGATACTGATGCTGAGGGTGAGGATGTTGATGCTGGTTGTGATGACGACTGTGGTTAGTGCGACGACGAGACAGCACCCATCGGTAGCACTGAGTGCGCAGGCAGCGCATGTCAGTTCTGCGACGACGGAAGTGCGTCTGCACAATATGCAGGAGGGGGAGGAGGAGGAGGAGGAGGAGGAGGAGGAGGAGGAGGAGGAGGAGGAGGCGGCGGAGCAGGAGGCGGAGGGGGAGGAGAAGGCGGAGGAGGAATAATAGTAATCATACGAATAAGAACAATAACAATAACAATGCACCTCATACGACTACTGATAATGAGACTACGAAGACAAGTACTAATAATAATGCGAACCGGAGGACGGATACTAATACTAACAAAACTTATTCGAATAAGGGTAAGAAGGCGAATGCGAAAACGGCGAGTAAGACGACGAATGATAATACCAAGAGAAATAAGCCAATCATACTGATATGGGTAAG